CCGCCGCTGTCAGGACCCGTCCCTCTCAGCTTGCAGCAGGGACGCCAAACAGCACCCACAACGGATGGACAAAGGCTGCCAGCGCCCCGGTCCTGGCTGAGGGACAGCCAGGGAGGCACCCAACAGCCCCAAGAGAACCACCCCAGCAGGAAACATTTGGAATCCACATCTCGCTCGTGGCGAGCCCTTTTTCCCCTTCGAAGCTCACCGTCCCTGTAGCAGCATTTCAGTGGCTCTGCTTGGGACAGGCAGCCACCCTCCCAGGAAGCAGGCCAGAGCCCAGAGCAAGCCCCGCACCTCGTACACAGTCATTTGCCTTCCAGACACCATCGGCCCGTGGCTCTGCCCACCACAAGCCCCACCAGCGTGCCTGGCACAGCTCTGCAAGCCCAGCTCAGAGCTAAGAGAAGCCCAGGTCATTGCACAAGCCCGCACGGTTACCGCCTTACACGAGCCACCCCCGCGTGCTTCCCGCCAGCAGCCTGCTGCGGAGGCTCTCCCCGGTGCCCGCTCCAGCCTCAGCTGGCCCTCGCCAAGGGGGGGGAAGCGCAGACCTGGCAGGTTTCCCCCTGGCTGGGCCCCTCGCAGGGCAGCGTGCAAACCCACCCCGCAGTCTCCCGGTCCGTCGCTTTGTGGGTGAACGGTGGGTCAGGATGTGCATTCGCCTCCTTTGGGTCAGAACTGCCATCTACACCGGATCCGGCCGCAGGACAGTTTGCGGTCCCGGAGGGGACTCAGTCTGCTCGGCAGATGAACCAGATCTCATTGCGGCGCTGAGGGATGCTGGGGTTTTCGTAAGCAGCCACAATGTAGGTTTCCCGGAGCACAGCATCCGTGGAGCCCAAGAGCTCCCAGAGGAGACTGATCTCTCGCAGAATCGTCTCCTCCGTGGTCATCCCATAGAAAACCCTGCAGCAAAGGGCGCACTGTAAGCAAACAGAGCCAGCACGTTCCCCCTTCCCACAGCCAGGGCTCCCATCCCTCCGCCCAAGGAATCACGGCAGCCATGCAGGGAGTTCACACGCCCTGCGGAGCTGACAGGACACCGCTGGTGTCACCTGGTAATAACCCGGAGTGGTGCCCTCTCGGTGATGCGGATTTCGGGGTCCATGGGAAGAGGGGGGTTTTGCTGGAACTCTCCCGGGAGGTAATAGGCAGTTACGACCTCACGCTCCAGTTCGGTCCCCTCCTCGGTCAGGTGGATTTCATTGAGCACTGGGACTGTCATGCCCAGGTAGCAACCTGGAAAGAGGGAGGAAGGCAGTGGGCAGGGTGAGACGGCCGGCTCAGCGGCAGCAGCCCTCCTCCCCTCTCCAGACAAACCGGTGGCAGAGCCCTCCCTCTGTGCAGCCTGCCAGCCCCTCTGGTCCCTGCCTGCACACACCTACAGAGTTCTCCTTGCAGATGTAGCGCATGAGCTTCATGAAGCTCATGGAGATGCTCTGCTCATACATGGGCTCCCCCTTGGTGACACACGCCCACTTCCCAGCTGGGTACCGCCGCTCCTCGTAGGCCGCTTCCTCGCACTGAAACAGGCCACAGACAAGCCAGGTCAGAGTTAAGCACACTGACAACACGGCAGCGCTCGGGTGGCAAAACCAACACCGACAGGCAGGAAGCGGGGAGACGGGACCCTACTGAAATGAGACCCCCTGCGAGCCAGCGATCGGCAGGGGAGGACGAGGGGAAGGGAACTGGCACCACACGCACCTCAGACAAGGACACGTAACAGCACCGGGCAAAAGTCAGTGAAGGGAAAAGCACAGACAGGGTGACGGGGGGCTCGGAGGCTCCTGGCATGCACAAGGAATGCAGCACATCCTCAGCAAGGTGCACAGGACTTTCTGCTCCCCTCCAGTTGCTGTCCTGCATACTCACAAGGATGGTCCTGATTCCAGGCACCCAGAGGCCTCCCGTAAGGGTGATGTGATTCTCAGGTGCAGTGTCTTTTCCCTGGAGCACAGAGCGTGCACAGAGGATAACAAGCAAAAAGCTTCCTGCCCAGTAGAAGGGAAAGCCTGGCGGAAGAGCTCTAGCGCCCAGAAAAGCTGTGAAGGTTGGAACAAAACTCCCTTCAGATCCTTCTCCCATATCAAGAAGTGACAGGAGGAGCGAGAGACATGAGCCCAGCTGATGTAGGGGACAGCTTTGTGGGATGGGTCAGAATCTCTTATTTCTAGCACAGATGCTCGAGGTTCAGCTCGTGGCATGGTTATAACCACACACGCCGCATAAAGAGGGGCTGGGAAGTTGTAGCCAGCACCTTCCTGCTCTCAGCATGTTCTTCAGCCAGATTAAAGGGATTACAGGAACCTTGTCCCACAGAGCTCAGGGCGCCTGACCGAACTTCTGTGCTCCACGGCTGTGCTGGCAGCGAGCGAGCCAGGAAGTTGTGAGCAGCCTCAATGCTGAGTGCAGCCTCCCTGTGCCTCCACCCGAACCAGGTCTCTGCTCAGAAAGCCAAACCAACGGCAGAAGGGAGGCATCTGGGCTGTTGGCGTGCATCAGTGGGGTGCCAGGAAGAAGAGTGCCCCAAAACCCAGCAGAACAGACAGCATTTGTGCTCTAGATGTGGCCATGCCTGCTCCTGTCCCACTCAGCAAAGCAGGGGGAGAGCATTTCCCAAGCAAGGAAACCGCCAGTCCCTCTGGACTACTTGCAACTCTCATCTGCCAGGCCATCTGTGAGTAAACCTAGCAGCCCAGCAAGGCACGGCGTCTGGTCCTACCACAGCCTGATCCTTACATTAAGCACCACGGCCCGAGTTGGTGAATGGAGTTTGGGATCCTCACGGAAGCGAGGAGAGTGCGCAGCAAGCTCGCTACCCTGGACTGCGGGAGAGGAGATTTTGGCCGCTTCAGGAACTGATTGGCAGAGTTCCATGGGATGAAGAGCCAATTCCCTCTTCTGGAGGGAAGAGGGGCCCCAGAAAGCTGGCAAGTGTTGAAGAACCTTCTCCTCCAAGCTCAGGAGTGATGCATCCCAACAAAGAGGAAGTCAGGTAAAAACGCCAGGAGGCCTGCGTGGATGAACAAGCAGCTCCTGGACAAACAGGCCCAAAAAAGCAGCCTACAGTGGGTGGAAGCAGGGACAGGGAGCCTGGGAGGATTACAGGGAAGTTGTCCAACAAGTCAGGGATCAGGTTAGGAAAGCCAAAGCCCTGACAGAATTAAACCTGGCCAAGGACATCAAGGGCAACACGAAGGGCTTCTATAGGTACATAGGGGATAAAAGGAAGATCAGGGAAAATATTGTCCCTCTGCAGAAAGAAATGGGAGAGCTGGTTTCCCAGGATATGGAGAAGGCCGAGGTGCTCAGTGATTTTTTTGCCTCAGTATTCACTGGCAAGGACACAAGATAGCCCCCCCACGAGTCACGGAAGGCAAGGGCAGGGACTGGAAGAATGGCAAGCCGCCCATGGTTAGAGAGGATCAAGTTCGGGAGCACCTATGGACCTGGAGGTGCACAAGTCCATGGGACCCGATGGAATACATCCGCGGGTCCTGAAAGAACTAGCGGATGAGGTTGCAAAACGTCTATCCATCATATTTGAGAAGTCATGGCAGTCTGGTGAAGTTCACGCTTTTCCAGTTTGCTGACTGGAAAAGGGGAAACAT